CATTTGGAAGACCGTATCTTCATTCAACTTTCAGGGCTTGTTTACCTTATAATGATCCAACTATGTGCTTAAAATCGTTTTGATATGTTCAGTACTTTTCGTTGAAATTGATAAAATATGCCTGGCTACGTGCATTTTTAAAAGTTGTTACACTGGTGTTTGCAATATATGTCAATATTTTCAAGGTGTGCAGTGAAAATTTGCAGAATAGCCTCCTTCACGAGTCTTTAATTGATAAATATCACCCTTTTTGCCGGATTCCATTGGTCGATACCGAGACCTAGGCGAAGTCACGTCGTCATTGTTGCCCCCAAATCAGCCAACCTGAAAACCGTGCACGTGAGTTAATTTGGTCGGCAACAATTCCTCGTTGAAATTTACCTTGGATATAGTTCAATGTGCAACACAAGCGTTTGCAACAACAGATTAATCTGAAATTCGGAATATACTAAGATGATATAAGTGTTCAACTTTTCGTGAAATAACAACTTGAGGGGATTCCTAGAAATTGAGATAAATACTTAGATTTGGGGACGTTTTTGAACAATTTCATCCCGACTTTAAGGTCAGCTTTACCAGTTACCAGAATTGACGTTTCGGCATCGACGACAGCGATTTTTTCACTGACATTAAGTTTAGATTTTCTTCTTCCGTTATAATTTAACATTTGAATCATACTGAGCATATTTTCTGAGAAACACAATATTCAAAAAGGCCAAGTTTGTAAGGGTGCATGAATTTCACTGCTTTGTTATACGTCCAAGTACGTAATCAGATTAACTTTGTTGAACAACGGCGACGCTTTGGTCTTCGCATCCACACGGCTGAGATGAAGTATTTATGCGAAAACGGTTCAGAACGTTTAGCCATTGCCTTTTCTCATTATAACCACAGAGAAAAAAAACGAACACTATAATGATGACTGAAACCCAAGAGAAAATCAATCAAAGAGGGATTCTGTGCTGGAAAAGTTGCACAGACAGATCATGCCCCTTGTCAACAATCCAAACACGATTGGCCTGAGGTTGTAAGGAAAAACAATTTCCAGCTTCAATGTGGACAAAGATTGCTTCCAGGGACAAACAAAATATGTTAGATAGAAATTTGTTTGGGATCGAACTCACAATCTCTTCGTGGCGCCTCCTTTCACTGCCGCGTGATTACATTCAAAGAATTTCCCCAGGGATACGACACATGAGTTTGCGTACAACAGTGCTGTTAATTCAGCTTCAAGCAAACAATCCGTGGGGAACAAAGCCTCCCCAGTCAGGATTTCGCGAGACAGTCCCATTTCTGGCCTTTTCTCTTCGGTGTTAAACATCAATTAACTGTTTCTTTGAATTGTCCCCATTTAACACAATCATGGACGCGGTCATGTAGTTTTCAGTGCTTGATTACCAAACACCAATTAGTTCAACAAAATGGAAAAAATGTTACACCGAAAAAGACAAATTCCTCCTGCGATTTTACCATAGCGATTGAGACTGAACAAACTTGTAGCCACATGCCTACCACCAATGTAATAATAAACCACCAAGGCAGCAGTACCCTGTCTTCAAAAATCAAGCAACTTTCCTCGAAACTTCCAACCGTGCAAACTAAACAGGCCTATTGTGCTGGAAAATTGGTGTGTTAATTACCTGACGAAGTTGAGCATCTATTGCCTCATATTTATTGAGTACCAAACCCATTAAGTCAACTAATAATATTAGGATTCGGATTGGACATTTGTTAATATTTACCAGTTTTATCGACCAATCCGGGCACGCTATCAATTCTATCACGGAGGCCCCTTTTAATCATTGTGAAAGCATTGTGCTAGCTAGCTATTGTTCAGACAATCCGGCACGGTGCAGTAGCCTTGTACAATAACAAGCACAATGGTTTATCCATTGAAGGGGAGAACGTGCCCGATCTGCTTTGACGTCGACATGTCGCGTTGTGAAATTGCATGTTCGTAAAAGTGCTACGCGGTAGAAACTAGAACAGAATGATCAATAAACCCTCATACAGGTACAGTCATCGTACAGTCAAATAACTTGGAACCCTAAGGCTCTCTTGAACTTCGCGTTTAGAGATTCGTTTGTCGAGCGCACATTTCACGTGTGCTCTTGAACGAGGCAGGAGATGTGGGAACTAAAGTACAGAAGCTTGAATTGCCTTCCGCGATACCGCGTTACCGTGATAATTTATCACAGAAATCCGGAATTCAAAGATTGTTCCTTCCTCGATACCGCGTTACCGTGATAAGTTATCACAGAAATCCGGAATTCAAAAATACATATTCCTCGATACCGCGTTACCGTGATAATTTATCACAGAAATCTGGAATTCAAAGATAGCTTTTCCTCGATACCACGTTACCGTGATAATTAATCACAGAAATCCGGAATTCAACGATAATTTCTTCCTCGATACCGCGTTACCGTGAAAATTCATCACAGAAATCCGGAATTCAAAGATAATACCTTCCTCGATACCGCGTTACCGTGATAAGTTATCACAGAAATCCGGAATTCAAAAATACATATTCCTCGATACCGCGTTACCGTGATAATTTATCACAGAAATCTGGAATTTAAAGATAGCTATTCCTCGATACCACGTTACCGTGATAATTAATCACAGAAATCCGGAATTCAACGATAATTTCTTCCTCGATACCGCGTTACCGTGATAATTCATCACAGAAATCCGGAATTCAAAGATAATTCCTTCCTCGATACCGCGTTACCGTGATAAGTTATCACAGAAATCCGGAATTCAAAAATACATATTCCTCGATACTGCGTTACCGTGATAATTTATCACAGAAATCTGGAATTGAAAGATAGCTATTCCTCGATACCGCGTTACTGTGATAATTTATCCGGAATTCAAAGATATCTATTCCTTGATACTGCATCTTTACTTGTCTAGACGTAAAGCAAGATTTTGACACTGCGCTGTGGTTTGGTGCTAATTACCATCGCCAGGGTGGTAAATTGCTCTTTCCTCGAAAATGAGATCGAGCACTGGCACAATGATTCCAAAGTATATGAATACTCGCTCCTATTATAAAGTTCATCACATCAAATTTAGGCCGTTTCATATTTTGAGTTTAAAATGGTGCATTTTACTTTAAGTCTTCAATATTATCCAAAATTGACTAGAATTTAATCAGCCAACCACCTATCCAAAAATGTGACCTTGGACAACAAAATGTGCGAAATCCCGATTTCTAAATTTTCACAGTAACGCGGTATCGAGGAAGGGATTATCTTTGAATTCCGGATATCTGTGATAAATTATCACGGTAAAGCGGTATCGAGGAAGGGATTATCTTTGTATCGCGGAAGGCAATTCAAGCTTCCGTACTAAAGTGATCGGAATTTTGTGTCACACTTGTGCGATGTGTGATTTCGCCAATGCTCTACTCATGACTAGCCAAAGTGTGTCCGGCCTACGCCAATGCTTGCTTCTGTAAACCACATTGATTATTGATCTGAATTAATGCCGGTCCATTAAAGGCAGATGTCGTGTCATGACCGTTTTAGTATTAAAATATGATAAAAAATGTTATCAGGTGTTCTGCATGCGACTATGTTTGCGCCAAACAGGCGATGGGGGTAACGTAGGCAAGCAATCTTTCGACCTTAGAACAGTATTCAATATCAAAGGGTTTGATAGAAAAAGGGTCGCAAATGTTTCAACGCTATATCGCAATGTAATTACCAACGAAACAATTATGCACTCGTTAAGAATGAATAAGGTGTCCTTTTTTTAAATTTTTTTTTTACAGTTTTATGACAACGATTTATTTTTCCTTGGGGAAAAATATATAAGGGCAGAGGATCTACATATTTAGAATGAAAAAAAATATGATACGTTTATCAGTTACTAAACGGAAATAACTTGTAAGTGACACAACTAAGGACCCAGACATTGGCATTTCCAGCAGGTGTACGGGTGATGTTGTGAAGTCCACCTGATGTGATGTCCACCTTGCAGCCCTTCAGGCCATCAGTGATAAGTGGTAACTTGGAAGCTACACAATCGATGCGGGTGAGACGATGCGATCTCTCAGAGCAATTCATTCTCACTTCAGCTGGGATTTCTCTGTATGTATTTGAACATTACACTGTCCATTGGTCTATGATTTGATGACCAGAGGCAACCACTTTAGTCGCTATCGAATGAATTCATCAAGAAATTTTCCACTTCACAATATCGAGAGAAATTATACAGCTGTCCAGAGCATACTTCAAATAAAAAAAGAATCATACATTTTTTCCAAAGAAGGTCGACGAGGATCGTGCAGGGCACATGTAATGTATCGGAGAAGGGCTAGGACGTGACCAGAATTACTTCAGGGAACAGGTTTGTTGTCATTCACGATTGCTTACGGACGGTTAGTTGAAACGTGCGTCGAAACACAATGAACAAGTTGGCTGTGAAAACTTTCCAAATCCCACATTTGCTGCTTAATATGAAATGGCAATCTAAAGCGAAGTATACATTTTTTAAGCCTTATTAACTACGATTTAAGACTTAAAACTACCCTGAATTTTATTTATTACCGATCATTAGAACGCAATGCGAGACCATTTTGGTGGGATTAAATATTGTCACTGGGCAAGAAGATAAGTACTCCATGTCGGAAAAGGGCGTTGTTTTGTATAAGGCCACGGCTATTCATTACTGCGCGCAAAATGGCAAAACTGAAGCAGAAGCAACAACACTGAAATCGGGATTGTTATTTCAACAGCGTGTGTCTAAATTACATCGCCTATCCCGATATCGCATTCCCGCGATCCGCAGCCATATATAGCAACGATACTCCCACAGACGTAACGACGGCTCTTAGATTTCAATGCCTGGATTTACTGGACTTGCTATAACTAATTCGAATGATTCGTTTCAATTTTGTTTTTAAATTTCCTTCAAGGGAGAGTCTCTGCAATTTTGTTTTTGAAAGGTGTGAACCGTTGTTGTGGTACTATCAGATCTAAGTCACTTACCTGTTGAATGAAGAAGACAAGAGGGCATCCCAAGGAGCCGAAGAGCCAGTCTTCCTTCATGATGTAAACGAAGGTGAAGGGCATACAGAAGATAGCTGAGAGGAGATCAGCCACGGCCAGATTGACCAGGAAATGATTCAGGTCCGTCTTGGCTCGGGCAGCGAAGCCTAGCACGGCAATCACCAGGACATTACCGGCTACAGACAGGGCGATAGTCAATGAATAGACGGTGCTAATCAGTGACTGTACGGTCTTGTCTTGAATCCCGTACTGCAGATCGCAGTAATCTTCCTCTGGTTCTCCGGAGGGTTGAGACGATGGGGTTAACCCGGTGCCGTTCCCTGGCAGCCAGTCCGTCAGATTACCCTCTGGTCGGTAACGAACCAACGTGGTGTTGCTTTTAGCGATCTGATCGAAAGCTGAACCTAGTAGGGCGGGCAGCAGATTCTCTTCGGCTGCCATTTTTCTTTTACTTTCAACTTATCTTCAAAAAAAAAATTGTTTTATGTCTGGAGCAGAAACACTTTAAGTTCAATTCTGTATGGTTAGTTCGTTTTTGTCAAACAGGTTATTTTGGTGCGACAAATGTCTGCAAACGACGCCGGAGATGGGTAAATACTTTTAGAGAATACGTACAAATAGTTTTTGTCCGCAAAGTTTCTAGATGAAGGAAATCCAGTAGTACTTTATACTGAATTTAGGTCAAAATCAGTATTTCTACTGACAATGTTTTCACACAGTGTTCTCACAAACTAATCAAGAATGCAAACTCTTTCCTGGATGCAATAACTTGGAGCACTGCTCAGCTACAGTCCAGTTGAACTCGCGGTCAAGCAGACGACACTCCATTTAGCACGCTGGTTGTGCCAGCGAGAAACCAGTCTTCATTCGCTCCGCCACTCAGATGTCCGTCCTCAGGAACAACTACCGCCGTCACGCCTCGTGCTCATCTTTTTAACCAGTTAGTGTTGCCATGGTGACGCAGGGCACATTCCATTTTTTGGCCTGTCGGGGGAATGGGTTTACAGTCGAGTGTTAGAGCAAAGTGCCCGTGGGGTCAGGACGTCAGCCGAGACTCACTCTGTGAAAGAAGATAGAAGAAAAAATAGCTTAACAAAGATCATGAATGAAACTTTGCAAGTTATATTATGCCGCCAGAGTTTTTTCCCCTTAGTTTTTTTTTTGGTGAAGAATGTTTTCAAATAGCTGTCATCTCACAATAAGGGGCCCTCATAAAAACATGAATGGCCTAAGGTGGGGGTTGGCCAGGCACTTTCAGCAGATCCTGTCAAAGAGTTAGCTGCATCATCTGCCTGAGGAAATGAAGGAGCCTGGATGGAAGTTTTGTTGCGTACGCCCTCGCGATGGAGCATAACTTACAGGAATTTCGATAAAACACGAAGAGAGTTCCAGAAACTAAGTCTGATTTTTATGACATGCTTTTGAAGCTTTTTACACTGCAAATCTCTCAATATTCGGCAACAGAGTGGTCTTTGTTGCACAGAGTTTGCCCAAAAAGTGCAACATTCAGAAAACAAATAATTTAAGCTGTTTAATGCTTTTTCTTCATTTAAATTATATATTACATTAAAGCCTGATTTTCTCAATCCACCCCTTTTTACCCAATTACATTTGGGCCACTAGATCCAGCAATGCAATTAATAAAGTGAAAAGGTGTAAATTTCACTTGGGCCACTTTTACCTGTGATGTCACCAACTTCAGTGCCCATTCGATGCTTAACCCAGATTCAGCATGTCCCGGTGAGAGTGGCCCAAATAAAATGTACACCCTTTCGATTAATTGATTGTACTTCAGGATCTAGGGACCCTAATGGAATGGGTTAAAAAGGAGTGGCTTGCGAACAATTCAGGCTTTATAATGTAACATATAATATTATAATTGAAGAAGAAACATTATCAGTTTTAATTATTTGATTTTTGAATGTTGCACTCTCTTTTGCACACTCTGTATTTGCAAAATGAAGAGTTACCGGACCTGCTTTGAACTGTCGTTTTATCAGGGTGATTCTAGTCAAATGCTGTTTTGCTGGAAGCCAGGAAATGAACTTAATCACCCAAATTTGCAATATGAAAAGTTGATCTGTAAAATATATTTATGAAGAAACCCTCGTTCAAAACGTCCAACAGAACAAACATGAATCGCTGACGTCAGCTTTTTGCCAAGGAGTAAAGGGGTGCGACGTTGGGAATGGTACTATTCGTCTTCGCGTTTAAGTCATAACGACGTCGTAGCTTTAGAGGTGAATAAGAAGGAACAATATTAAGGCTCATATCATTTTACTTCATGAGCCCCGAATTTCAGATCTAAAAACAGTGACACAGTGAACGAAGGAGGGAAGGGGGGGGGCCTTTGGGGAACGAGCCCCGTGACCAAATCATCAAAAAGGGAGAAATGGAAAAAACATGTGGTATTATACTCAGTAATGTAACAGTCAAAACTGCCCGGAGGGACCGAAAATGCGGCTCATGCACCGGTCACAACCCTTTAACGTTGCTTCCTAAACAGCAATATTCTTTCTGAAATAATGTTCTTTCCCTTCCCCCGGCCTCTCCGAAGTTCACATTTCACAGCGAGAAAATTTCGAAACAAAATCGGTAACCAGCCATGCAAAGTATCTGGTCATAGTGGTTAAGACTGGTCACAGTAGCAGTATGTAAAAAAACCTTTGAATTGCAATCTGGCTTATCTTTTCCTGCATACAGCGTGTCCCAATAAACATTGTGCATGAAGAAGTCGCTGATTTGCTCAAAAGGTGGTCATACTAGCTCATCACATTTTATATTATTTTAAAGCCTATTGTCTTGTTTATAATTGGTGAACATATCAAGAAAATCCATCAATGCAAAACAGTGATATCGTTTGTTTTGTAAGGCTATATTATTTTCCTCCTGCACAATTAGAATCCTGTAGTTAAGCATGTTAACAAAGAACGTCAAAAGGGTCTTTACAATGTTGACGCTTGAGTAATTTGCAATTAGAGCAGTTACCAAGTGCTTTTGAATAATCTTCTTCGATGAACAATCAAATAAACACCCTCTAGCTATGCAGTTTCTTCTTTTATTTATTTGTCAATGAAATATTTTTAAATCAAGGCCATGCAAAATTCCAAGCACTGCGTAACACATACCAATACCCCAATAATTGGTATACACAAGCAAATACTAAGTGTGGAAATTACACTGTGCAGGTCGAAAAATACATAGCCTTACAAAATCAAAGACATCTGTAGTTTGCATTGGTGGATTTTCTTGATTTTTCACCAATTATAAAATAGAACATAGACTTGAAAATGTTATAAAAAGCTATCTGACCAACTTTGGAGAAAATCAGCGATTTCTGCATGCACAATGTTTATTGGGACACCCTGTTCATCCACAGCGTCGAATAAAATCTGGACTTGTAGAAGTTCAATTTCTTTCATCGTATAGGGATTTCTGTCTGTGCCCTTTTATTCGTGGATATGCGCTGTGCGCAATGCGGTGCAGGAGTTCTTGTTCATGCAATACGCGCCAGCTCTTATTGGAGAAAGATTCAGTGCAACACAGCGTATTCCTCAAGAGGTAGAAGAGGATATAAAACCAAAATAGAGGAAATTAATGAAATGAACCCGTTTACAGTACGTTACAGGCTGATCTCAAGATATTACTTTCAGCATTAACGAATTGTCAGACTTTTGTTATATAGATTTTCAAGGAAAACCTTATACGTTACCGGTTATTTGTTATGCGATATGTACGCTCCTTTTCAGTGGCTCTGCTCGGCTGAATATCAAACTTGATAAACATTAAACTTAACATTATTTCTTACAGGCTCAAGTTTCTGTCTTACACCTTTATGACGTTTGGATCATGAGGTGGACGCTCTTAAACGGTTGCCAATGGTAACTGCTCTATAGACCATGTGCCATGTTACGTCATGCCGACTGGCAACCGCCGGGCAAAGCAATCATTTAAAGGACCCATACAATGTATTTTTTGAATGCAATCTTTGAAAATAGACCTTCGTGTGCCATTGAACCTTATTTTCAATTTTCGCATCTTTTGCATGTCATTTGGTCCACGTTAAAAAATATTATATCAATATGCCAATAAACTATTTATATTTCAAGAGATATACAAGAAGTGCAGAAGAGAACCGTTTGCTGAAAGATGGCATCACGTTACCACAGCATACAATTTGAAAACCAATTTGACATAATCCCAGCGGGGTAATTGCGCCCTCAAGCGGTATGAATGAGAATGTTTGTCGTTTAGCTCAAGGTACGCACAAAAGTAGGCCAACATTAACTATCCTGCAGCATATGAAAGTCACTCCTCCTATGGGCTCCGTGTGCTAACGAGGGAAGGCACTTTTTGACCAATTTTCCAGGAGGGGACACCGCGTGTTCGTACTGGTTCGCGCACGTATAGCGCCATGTGCGCACCGCTTATTTTACTCTGAATGTGCACAGAGCTATAGCGTCTTCGTGTGAGAGTCAGACGTTGTCGGCAATTAACCTACCGTGGTAGAATCGCGTCAAAGCAGCTTGTGAAATATTATACAAATAACGAATGTTTGTGAGTGCAATGGTAAGAATAATTTCATGAGGTGACAGATGAAATGTTCCACTCCACGAGGCAAAGCCGAATGGAATGAAACATTTCATCTGTCACCGAATGAAATTATTCTTTCCATTGCACGAACGTGAAACATTCATCTGATTAGTTGACTTTTAATAGCCAATTTATTCAGGTTAAAAAACTGTTTAAAAGTTCGACAAGTTCTTCATTTTTATATTAATACAAACTGTTGAGAACAATCATATTCAATTTATCTCGATTTAAAACAGCGCCACCACGAGCAGTAGTGACACCGTGCAATGGAAGTTCTATTCACCGTGCAATAGAACTTCCATTGCACTGTGCGCTGCGCGCCACGCGTGCGCCGTACGTTGGTACGAATAATTCAATGACATGTGATCAACGATCCACCAATCAGACGACGGGGATTTATTCAGGTGTTGTATAATGTCCAATAACCCAAATGAACGCGGAACGCGCAAAATCTGAGACAAACAAAACGGAACGTGGAAACTTCCATAGAGTACCGAAGTGCGCCTCGTATTCTGTTCCACGCGCGCGCACTGCTTGTGTGAAGACATAAGCGAGTGAAGCAAAGTGATATACAAATATTAAGTGGCTCAGCGTGGAATGGGAGAAATATTATCGCAAGGTAAAATCTGGACTTTTCCATTTCACGAGGCGAAGCCGAGTGAACTGGAAAAGTCAAGATTTTACCGAGCGATAATATTCCTCCCATTTTACAATCTAAAGCCACTCAATATTTGTTTTATATAACTGACATATAGATCCTTGTCATTTGATATATTTGAACTTTTATTTCAACACAAAACTGGAGGAAAAATGTATTTCTCTCTTCGAAACCACCCCTTCACGAAAATGTTTGAACCCAACGCTGTAGCGCTGGCTCTTTTGAACAATATACGCGCTACCCGCAACGCTGAACGCGCACAACAGCATGCATTTACACACAAATACCGCGTCATGATCCTAACTGTTCAATAGTACTTCCCATTCCCCATGGGCGGATAGTACTTTTTGAGCCGCGGCGTGAATGGGAGCAATAACGAATGTCACGTGATGTGAGTTCCACCAATCAAATGACGAGGATCTGTATGTCGGTTATATTAACCAGAATAATGACGGCTGACGTCACTCTTCGGTACTCTATCCGGCTCGTTAGTGTGACGTCACTTCAGTTTATACCACGCCCACTCTCCGTTGAGTAGCATTGGAACCATTGATCTATTATGATAGGAACCATTGGAACTGGAAGTTAACGCAACACACGAGTTTATCCAATGGGTGGAAGTAATCAGTGGTGCGCGCGCGTGCATATGACGTTTTTACTAACAAACCGGTATTTTTTATCTAAGGGGCGTGGCTAACTCGCAAACGGCAATTGGTCAATTCGTTTGAATGGTTCTCCTATTCTGGTTCCTTACATTGGCATACATTGGCCGGAATTCCGGGTAATGTACAGGGTGAGTAAACAAAAAC